TATATTTATGTTTTTAATGCGTTTCATGGATTTAATATTACGTTTAATAACAAAATAAGCATTTTAATGTTGTTTGTGTAGCTGCTGCAGTGCATGCGCGGCAACGTTTGATTGCATTTTGTTATTAAATTTCTCAAAATTATATTTTTGCTTGCTGCTCTGCCAGTAGAAAAAAAAAACTGCCTGAAATTTGCATAAATCGTTTTTGGTTTTAAAAATATTACGTTAAACTACTTGTTTATTTATTAATAATTAATTATTACGGCGTTAATTTATTTTATTATCGTGATTTAGTTGTTTGAAATACTTATTAATTTAAACCAGAAGTAAAAATTACCAAAAATAAATTCTGAGAGCACTGTAGGAGCACACACGTACGTCTTCACAGTCGCTCGGCTCTCTAACAACTGACAGAATTCCGTGAGCAGTGTGCCCCAACGTAACACGATAAATGGTTCGAACGGTCACACTGCGATTAGTTCGATAAGACCAAAAAACTTGCGCGCTAAAATCGATTTGAATGTATATTACAAACATGCCCAAACTACTAATATTATATAATCTTAATATTCTCAGTGAGCAGCGAAAATAGAAATGAAATTGCTGGTTCCGAAATATACTTCTCCAAAGTTGGTGGTAGTTTACCTGGAAATTGGATAAACTACTTGAATTTATATATGCGTAGAAGCAGAAGCTGTTGCCAAATAACTGACATATACTACGTGTATGAAGTAATATACATATATAATATACATTGTAAGTTTCTTAGTTGCATGCGGAGCATAATGCAATCAAAATCATTTTTATAAATAAATTGTCCTTAAATTCAACAGATAAATGTGTTTTTATTGCTSTTTTGGTGTTTTTTGCAACACTTATTTGTATATTCAGTAACACTGACCAGAGAACACATAGACTAGACATGTAGAACAAATTTTTCTACAGCAGAAAATGTTAAGTTGGTCGCCCACTTTACTTCGTATTTGCTCGGCTCGGTCGCTGGAGGTTCGAGCAGTGAAAATATTGGACGACAAAAACAGTGCGCTGTGAGCGCTCAGACGAAATGGTCGTGATTATGTATGGAGCACATCTATGTGCCATTTGTCCTACTCTCTCTCTCTGATTTAGGTATACCCTTCGTTCAAAAGGAAAAAGCTGGGATCGTCGCGAACAAAAATTTCAATTTTTGTGCGCCGCTGAGAGTGATGATTTCAGCGACCATAGAGAGCGAGAGAGTAGGACAAATGGCACATAGATGTGCTTCATACATAATCACGACCATTTCGTCTGAGCGCTCACAGCGCACTGTTTTTGTCGTCCAATATTTTCACTGCTCGAACCTCCAGCGACMGAGCCRAGCAAATACGAAGTAAAGTGGTCGACCAACTTAACATTTTCTGCTGTAGAAAAATTTGTTCTACATGTCTAGTCTATGTGTTCTCTGGTCAGTGTCAGTAATTAAGTTAATATTGTCAATGTGCCCGCATAATAATTGCAGCTGTACGGGTTGTCAGCGATTCGTTTATGGGAATAACATCGATATAATCGACTATTTACATTTTGTTATTAGTCGAACTGTTATTTTTTAATAATAAAAACTCGCAACACTTAAATTAAAAATTGAGATTTTGCTGTATATTCTGAACAAATTACTTATATATATTACGTTACTTTTAATTTATTAATTCAAAATGTTGATTTTCATTTAAAGATCCCCGATAGGAAAATGGAAATCGAAGCTTTAAATATGTTATCAATAAATATCGATAGTATTATACTAGCAAATAATGATAGATAAACTATTTATAAAATACTGTATTTGGAAAAATGAAAGATCTGAAACACTGACCAAACAAAATAAATACCAGATGAAAATTATTCATATATCGATAGCATATCAACATCCCTTTTTAATTTGTAATATACTTAGTAGTATCAATGAGCATTTATTGCTGCTGCTTCTAAATGATCGCTGAATTGGCATTAACGTTGCTGCTACTGCTCTCGCCGCTAGCTTTGGGTCAGACTCAGATCCCTCAATTCCAGTACCAAACCGATGAACAATTTCATGAGGAACTGGTGGTTCGGCCACTAGCCGGCGACCATGTAAACACATACTTTCAATTCACCACACGCTGGCACTACGGCGTTCACAAAAATCGTAAGTAACATAACCCACTGCCGTAACGCAGCAGGCACCCACGATCACATTGAACTACTGCTGTCCGTTAGTTTATCACACACAGCTGACACCGCGCGTCATAGCCGAAATACTGCAAACATACGATGTGAAGGAGCTGCACATAGGGCTCACGCAAGGACTGTGGCGCTACGAGACCTGGGGCTATCCCATTGTAGAGGCGACCGGTGGTGCCGAGCTGTGGGCCTGGTTCAGCTCACCGAATTTGACCGACGACAGTGTGAACAAGCAGTGGATGCGCTTGGCAAACGTCTTCTCTGGAATACTCTGTGCCTCGCTTAACTTTGTCGATAACACCAATAGCATTGCACCCAAGCACATATTCCGTCCACAGTTCATGGAGTCAGGCAACCGGAGTCATCAATTCGTACGCTATGCCACGTTGCCCCGGGAAATTGTCTGCACTGAGAACCTGACGCCCTGGAAGAAGCTTTTGCCCTGCGGCAGCGCATCGGGCTTGGCTACACTGCTAAACTCGGGCTATATCCACAATACCAAATACCATTCCCTGGGCGTCAAGGTGCGAACATTGTGCGATAGCGACGACCCAAGCAATTGTTTAGTGGAGCTCACACAGACGGCAAATCTAGTCTATGATCTGAAGCTGTTGGAGCAGAGCAACACGGACTTCTCGCTGCGTCGCCTCTTCGGCATGGGCTTGAACGGCTACTGCGAGATGGCCAGCAGCAGTAAGATCTACGTGCAGCTCAACGAGCAGGGTGAGCGCTTTCAACTGACTCCGACACCACAGGAAGAGGTTCTTAGTACAGTCGGTGGCCACAACGTCCTCTTTGGCGTCTACGACATACAGCAGCAGTTCGAAGAACCAGGTGCCCGACTCTTCAACATTGCATGGCTTGGTCCCAAGGGCAATAGCAAGAGGGAGCACACGTCGCCGCCACCGCTCTATGCACATCGCTACCTACTGGGCAATGGTCAGAAGCACGGACGCATTGCCACCGAAGTGACCAACACACATTACGAGCCACTACCCGTGGTGCTCATGGAGCTGGTGCCCTGGTACGTCCACGCCTACTTACACACCTTGCGCATCTCCAGCAAGCCACAGCACCTGCACGAGTACACCTCCAACGAGTTGAAGTTCAGCCTGCTGCACTACGCGCCCGGCAAGCAGCGTGAGCTACCCACTCACTTGGAGATTGGGTTTATGCTGCCCGCCAGGAGCAGCGCTCTTATAACCATTGAGGTTGACTATCTGCTGCTCAAGTGGCTTGAGTATCCGCCGGATGCAAATCACGGACACTATATTGGATCTGCCGTCATTGGCAGTCAGCTGCCCATAGGACGCAACTACACGGCTCTGCCATTGGAGGGGTATCTGTTCCAGGACTCGTTCAATGCATCGCAACCTGCATACGCGCTGACCTTGCGCACTGAGGCGCTCATTGTGTCCCTGCCCACGCCCGACTTCAGCATGCCCTACAATGTCATCTGCCTGGCATGCACCGTGGTGGCGCTGGCCTTTGGGCCCATACACAGCGTCGCCACCAAGCTGATCATTGTGGAACGCCAGACGACCATACCGCGCAACCTATTGCGCAAGGTCGTGCACAAACTGACCAGTCGGTTCAGCAGGCGATCCACCAATACTGTTCTCAATGAGCAGCAGAACAATGAACAGAATGGAAAGGGAAAGGAAAAGGAGAATGAGCAGGAGGAGAAGCAGCTAGATCAGACCCAATCTTGTGATAAGCAGGCACACATGTGATAAACCGGGTGGAGGGAGAGAGAGAGAGTGATGAAGACCCAGCGATAGAGAAACAAAATATGCTCGTAAGCAGCAGCCAATACTAGATAAGCAGCTGTAACCAATGTATTCCAAAGTACGTCAGTCATTTTATTTATGTAGGAACTACATACTTAGTCGTTTCATAAATAAAACAATCCACGTTCATGTCTATAAACTGATCTGAGTTCTGAATGCAAAAAAAGGTTCACATAAGTGTGGATATATATATATATATATATATGTGTGTGTGTGTATGTGTATATTTATGTTCACATTAGTTTTCCCCCAGCTTAAGAAAATGCAAATTTGACAGCTCGTTGCTTTTATTGAATGCATTTTGCTTTGTTCTTCAATTATATGTATCTTTAAATAATTGTTTTTGTTAGCTGTTAGTATTTGAAGTTTCCTAAATACAATTTCAAATGATGTAAATGCTATCGTTGACGATATATGTAATATATATCATATATCGTTTGTCGGCTTACAATTACAACTAGAGTAAAGTGCGTGGGCCACAATGCGCCTGAGCAAGACAGCAGCAGCAGCAGCGGCAACAACACTAGCAGTAGCAGCCGTACTCACTCATACACACATAAAGCTTTGCTGCGTTGTCCGATTTTAATTTTTTGTTTTTGTTTTTGTTGTCGTTAATGGAATATTTGATCATTAAATACTACTTAAATCATGGTTATTCTCATACTTCTGTCATTTGCTGAATGTAAATTGATTATATATTGTAAAATTGTATTAAAAATCTACTTAGTTGTGTGACGCGCCCTACATTTTACAATCAGATAAATGACGAAACGTTAAACCACTCAGTCAATCACTTACACACACTTACACAGACACGCACACAAAATATAGATAGTATTTCAAGAGTATAAAAAAAAATTTATATAGTAAGGAGCAAACACGCTATAAAAACAAAAAGGGTAATTAAATCGTATAGATGTAGGTGTAGTTGACAATTGTATAAATTAAATATATGTATGTATGTAGTAGAGTTATATGCCTAATGGACGCGTCTCGACGCTTGGCTCTATTACAATTGCTACAAGTACAAAGTAATGTAATCCTATGTATGTTTAGAAGTGTTTTCGTTATGCTTTAGAATTCCTGCCGCACGCACGTGCGCATTTAACTAACGCAAAAGCAGGAGACAAGTACCATTCGATGAGATATCTGTAGAACATCAGAGGTTCAGAGGGAGACAGAAAGAGAAAGAGAGTGAGAGACAGGGAGAGTCTAGCAATAAAGCGAGAAGGAACATTGCTTGGCGCGTATTTCTGGTCTTGTCATCCTTTGTTATTCATCTTGCTGCCAATCGAAAAATGGTTGGTACCATTGAGTGTGGCTAACTCACTGTGGTGGCTGACTTCCATAGTAACCATAGGCACCCGCTGGTGGCGGACCCTGTGGTGCGCCTGGGGGCGGCATCTGGGCACCAGCCGGAGCTGGCCTGTAACCCTGGTAACCCTGCGACGGCGGATACTGCGCATAGCCACCTGCCTGCGGCGTCTGATGGTAGCCATGGCCCGGATAAGCGCTGCCAGGTGGCGGCGGTCCATAGCCCTGTGGAGGCGGCGGTGGCGCGCCATACGGCTGTGAGCCAGGCGCTGGTTGATATTGATTTGGTGCCATTGGCGGCGTTGCCCCATTCGGCTGAGGTGGCGCACTCGAGTTTGGTGGGCCCCCAGGCGGCGGACCGCTCTGTTGTGGTGGCGGACCACCCTGTGGTTGCTGCTGTTGCTGTTGTTGTTGCTGCTGCTGTTGTTGTTGCTGTTGTTGTTGCTGCTGCGGTGCCCCATAGCCAGCCACACTAGTGGGTGGCGTTGAGTAAGTTGACTGCTGCTGCGTAGGCAGTGGCGAAACACCAGAAACCACAGCGCTCAGCTGCTGACCAGATTGCCCCTGTTGCTGTAGCGGCTGAAATAGACAGATTAGCGCCTTCTAGTCTTCTCTTGCTATTGTCATTCAAACGTACCTGCTGTTGCTGCTGCTGCTGCGGAGCGTATTGAGGCTGCTGCTGGGCAGCGCCCGCGCCAGGTGCTTGCTGGTTGGGCGGCACGCCAGCTACTGAGCTAGGCGGCGGCGGCGGCGTCGACTGCGGTGTATTGGGGCCATTGGGATTGCCCGCCTGCTGCTGTTGCTGCTGATTGGGTGCCGACTGTTGCTGCTGTGGCGGCGGAGGCGTCTGGCTGGGCGCCGTGCTGTAGCTGGCAGGAGGCGGTGGCGGTCCAGCATTTGTGCCCGCAACGCTGACCTGCTGGGCGCTCGGTGGACCAGGCACCGGCTGACCGGGATAACTGCCGGGAGGCGCGCCTGTAGCCTGCTGGTATGCCTGATACGGAGACTGTGCTTGGCTAGTGGGTGGTGGTCCATAGTTACCAGGCGGTGCGCCGGGCGTACCCGTCTGCCCATACTGATTGGGTGGATAGCCCGCGTAGCCCATAGGAGGCGGCCCGGGCGCCACAGCGCCAGCGTTCTGCGGTGGCGGTGGCCCATACTGACTGGGCAGCACACTTTGCGGCGGGCCGGGTGGCCCTGGAGGTCCCGCCTGTCCGCCAGCCGTCGGCGGTGGTCCATACATCTGTGCTGGTGGCGGTGGTGGTTGCTGCCCTGGCGTCACTTGCTGACCTGGTGGGGGTGGCGGATATGCACCCGGCGGCGGTGCTTGCTGTTGCTGACCACCAGCCGTAACACCGCCAGCGTTCGGATTCGGCTGATAGGCGTGTACCACGCCCTGTGCACCGCTTGCCGTCGATGTTGGCGGCATGCCCGCATGATGATACGCAGCCTGAGCATTTGGCGGCGGAGGCGGTGGCCCATAGCCCTGGCCGGGGGGTCCGTATGGATACGCATTCTGTGGCTGGTACTGCGGCTGCGACTGCGGCGGATAGCCCGGATAGTGACCATGCTGCTGCTGCTGCTGTTGCTGTTGATAGCTGACCCGATACTGCGCTTGCGGTGGCGGCACTAAGCCCGGTCCCTGTTGCGGCTGCTGCTGCTGGTTGGGCGGCTGTTGCTGCTGTTGTGGCGGCGGGGCCTGATTCTGGCCAGGCGGCAGTGGACCATTGTTAGGCCTCTGCTGCTGCTGTTGCTGGTCTGGAAAAACAAATGTCAAAAAACAAAGGTCAGAAATGCCGAAAAAATACAGTTTAAGAACCATTGAGTGGCTCAACCCAATTAGCTAGGATCTGTATTTAAGTCCATCATTTGTTGTAAGAAAGGAAAGCAGAAAGAATTCGTGTGATTAGACTTAAGCCATTTTGAGAATATTAAATTATCCTAGATCAAACTTTCTTAATTATAACGGATATACATATAGGAAATGTAAGCAGAAAAATATCTCGTGATAACATTTAGTCAAGGAATATAAAAATTACATTATAATGATGGGTGAGATTCTACAAATTACACATATCAATACCAGCTAATTTCAAATAGCATTTAAAATCCACCTCCACTTGGCCACTTCGTTCAGATAGCGGACAGACGGTTGTTTTGTTCGTGTTTTTGTGGCTTGATTGCACGCTACTTTACACTTACTGGGCGCCGCATTGACCGCGACCTGCGCCTGGCCAGCGCCGGCTTGGACGTTCCGATAGGCAGTCTGTGGCTGGGGTGCGCCAGCCTGGCTGACTTGTGGTGTCTGCTGAACTTGTCCAGCTTGTTGCTGCTGCTGCTGCTGTTGTTGCTGTTGTTGTTGCTGCTGCTGTTGCTGTTGTTGTTGCTGAGATTGCTGTTGGGCGTTGGGTGGCATACCCGGATGCGTTGGCTGTGGCTGTTGGCCTGGATAGGGCGGCATTTGTACGGGGCCAACGCCAGCCTCTGCGGCATGCTGCATCATCTGTGACTGGATCACACTGCCCGGCGGCGGGGGTCCCGGTGCGCCCTGCTGCCCTTGCACCTGCTGYTGCTGTCCCGGCGGTGGCACACCCACACCCGCCATGCCATGAGGCGCTGGCGGCTGATTGCCCTGTTGCATAGCCTGCGTTTGCAGCAGATGCGGTGGCTGTGGAAAATCAGACATTATATCTAGCTTATGAATCAGTTAGTTACGTTGCACGTACAGGCAGAATTTGGGCAATGTTCATTTGGGGATCAGCTAGCTGGGCTAAGTACACCAGATTTCTGTGCAGAGCCACATGGTAGCTCATGCACTCCTGCGACTTCCCCATGTTTTGAAAGTCCTGTATGGCCTGGATGAGTCCGCAATTATCGTCGAGTATCTTCTGTATTTGGGCCGAGTTGACTTGCTGACTGGGCACGCCGCCACGTTGTGCATTCGGATTGGGTGGTGTGCCCATCATGACGCCAACACCGACACCGCCAACGGGATTGCCAACGGACCCAGGGCCAACGCGTTGCTGCATTGGACCCATGGGCCCAACTCCTACGCCACCTGGCGGCCCTTGTCCACTGCCAGGCGGCTGTTGTTGTTGTTGCTGCTGCTGTTGCTGTGATTGCTGCTGTTGCTGTGGCGCTGCCTGCGGCGGCGGCAACTGCACAGATCCCGGCGGATGCTGCGCTGGTGGCTGCTGCTGCGACGGCGGCGGTTGCGGAGAATAAACTGCAGACATTTTACTGGCTGCAGCTTTCTTCTTCCGCTTAGGAGTTTTCTCTTGTTTTTCCACAATTTTAGCGGTTATTATAAAACGGGTTGTGAAAAAAATTCAACTCAATAACCCCGCTAACACAGTTCCCGCTCGCACTTTCGCGTCGATGTGGAGTGTGGCTGACTCTCTTAAGCAACAGCAACAAAAAAGTCTACGCCTCGGGTTTGCAGAGTGCGGCTTTCTTCACATTCGCATTCGCCGCATTAAAACACTCACACAAATGCACAAACGCATATATACATATGCATATATTTATATATATGTGTAAATGTGTATATCCATACTGTACTCATCGCTGAAGCTCTGCTCCTTGTAATAAATATTAAAATACAAATTATACTAAAAGAA